TTTTTTTTTTTTTTTTTTTTTTTTGGACAGCTTGCTGTTGAGTACCAATTAATATCTTTTAAGTACTCCTTACTGGAAAATACAATTTTGCTGGAAAGCAGCATGCTGTCAGATAAAGCAAAGAGAGATATGTCCATCCAGGCATGAAAGCTAAGAGAGGGAGAGTTAGCAGAGAAAGATGCATGAAGCAATAAACACATGGGAAGGACGGGTCCCACTGACCCCTCCCTTCCTTGTCCCAAGGCTGACAAGTGACAAGGATGCCCTTCCGGACTGGCTTCTCACTGATTGGGATCCCTCCGCATTACAACTGCTTCTTCCCAGAGCAACCTACCAGCTCTCCAGGACCTTCCGCCCCCCTCGACTTTCAGCTCTCTTTTCCAGGGCTCAGTGGACGTTATGCCGAGTCAGCAGCTGCAAGGCCTGCCTTAACATGGTTTGGCTAGAAACCCTGCCCTAGTGCCACTGAAAGCTGTTTGCATCTGCCACTTGTCCAGCCACCTCATGCCCAGGACACACTGGAGTTCTAGTGGAGAGGGCCAGTCTCACTGCTGAGTGATGCTACTCTCAGATGGGCCATGGTTCTCTCTTGGTCAGAGGAAAAAATGTCATGTCTGGCTCCACAGTACAAGACATCCCCATAGTGGCCCTTTTATTTGCTTCCCTAAAGGAGACAAGAACACCAAGCTTCAGAGAAGCAAGCATTGCCTGAGGCAGCTGAGTGTGCAGGCCACAGTGCCCTGCGGAAGTGTGGCTGGTTTGGAGTCCAGTGACGTCCAATCTAAGGGGCCTTTCCCTGAGAGATCATCTCTCAGCTGACTCAGTATAGAAAAGGCCCTTGCTGTTGTGGGAAGAAGTGCAAGTCATTCAGAAATGAATTTTTGGCTTTGACCAAGTAGGAAAGCTTTGAAACATTTCCATATTCATATCAGTGGTGAAAGGAATAATTATATAAATAAGTAACCAAAACCTCAGTGACTCTAACAGACTGTTTTGTATTATTTAAAAATTGTCTACTGCCTTCTCTGGCTGGAACCTCACCTGGCATTATTTCAATCCTACTATAGCCTTTAGATACCTATTTGCATGGATCTTCTGTGCTTCAAGAGGCTTGTAAGGTGAAAATTTCAGATCCTTTCTGTTCTCAGTGGATGGGAGGAGTTGGCCACTCCTAGGATGATTCTCTTGAGGGGAGGGAATGACCCTCTGAATCCAAGTAAAGTAGTGGACTTGTGTCAGGGCACAGAAGACGATGAAAAAGTGAAATTGTGTGGAACATTATGGATAAATTCCCTTAGTTTTTGTATCTCATGTGATTTTTAAGAGCACACTGCTCCAAGAATTCAGGGCCCCATGACTTCATACTCTGTGTTATTCTATGATTATATGACCTTACGTGTAAAAAAATGGGACAGCTATGGTTACTGATCAGTTGATCTTAAGATAGACAGGATGCACTTAACATAATCACACAGACCCTTCAAAAATGGAGTTTCCCCTGTGTACTCACAGGATTAAAGTCAAACAGACTGGACACGTAGCAAGATTTAATATGGCAGAAGAGGAGGTCATGGATCTGGAACCTGACAGTGGGCTCTAACAGCTCTGAGACCAGCTGACAGCCATAAGAAAGAGGGACTTCAGTTGAAAACCATACGAAGCTGGACTCTGCCCGTAAGACTCAGTCCACAGGACCTTGAATTCCAGATGAGAACGCAATTGGCTGACTCGCTTTAGCCTGAGCAGACAACACAACTGTACCACGTCAGATAAATGAGCTACAGGGCTCTGAGCTACTGCATATTCATTAGGGCACTCAGTGTGTGGTAATGGTGTTTAGCAATGGACAACTCACA